TTTTTGAAAATTAAGTGGCTTTTTGTCACTTAAAATTCTTGCTTAGTCATAAGATTCAAAATACTGTTCTGTGTAGTTTACAAGTATAGTGTTTGGATGGTACCTCATCACATGGTGTTCTAGGAGGACATTAAATGTTTGAATTTATTTTCCACTTGCTACTCACCTTATTCTCTAGTTTGAGAAGAATCAGCCAGTTTTTACTAGTCTTCATAGAATTCTTTGAAACTCTTCATATTCAAAACAAGTCCATATAACAAATGTGAATGTGATTTAATATTTAATGACTACAGAGATGATTAAGGTTTGCTGTTGTGATTGCATAATACTGTTCGCAAGATATGAGATTAAGTGAAAATGTTTGTTTTATATTAAATATCTACATGTTTATTTGTATTTGTGTTTATTTGCCGCCTTGTCCAAAAGGGAAGTGCAGGATATGTTGAGACTGTAGATGGTCAAAGTTTTGCTGTACCTTCATTTCTGGATAGATTAGAAGTAGCCTAATGTTGTAGTTAAAACTGATTAGATGTATAAAAATCTTATTATGCAGGTTTTGAGAAGATAAAACCTTTTAAGCAGCCATTGCAAATCCTCTTATGGTCTGTTGTAGAAATGTTTATTCCAAAGGATACCAGTTTCTTGGAGCAGTAGTTGCTGTGGAGTGGTGGTCCTCAGACAGCTGCCTCCTCTGTAACCACTGTTGAGCCCATTGTGTTCAGGATTTGATGAGCAAAAACTTGGCATCACCTTAGGTAGTAAATGCAACTTACTGTGAAAAGGCTTCAGTCTACCTACATTAACATTCAAATTAAGAAGTACTGCCATGGCTGTAGATGTTTTTGTATGGGCTTGTGAGTGATCCTCTTGAATGGCACCATTTTACCTTCTACAATTGTTTGATTCCTGTCTAATTTTATAACTTTATTTGGATTTTAAGTAATGGATAAGCTGTGCTTTACTGTGCAGAATTTGATAGCTTAGTTTGGTGTTTGTCTCAGGGGACATCCTCTGCACCAGCAGCTGCAACCCTGTCTACAGTAACATCTGGGGATCTAGATTTATTCACTGAGCAAACTACAAAATCAGAAGAAGTGGCAAAGAAACAGCTTTCCAAAGACTCCATCTTATCTCTGTATGGCACAGGAACCATTCAACAGCAAAGTACTCCTGGTAATGAATTTCGATATCTGCTTTCAGTGACATTACTAGAAGCATATCCTTTGTAATTATAATAAGATCAATTATATATTTTCTTTATTGTTCCATGTAGTGAGTGCTTTTGTTGTTGCAGTTTATACAACTATGAAACTGAAATGAACGAGCATTAGAATTAAAAATTAAGAGGCATGTACAGGATTCACAGAACTTTATTTGGAATTAACAAGCTGTTCATAGATCACTAAATATTGTTTCACAAGCTTATAGAACACGGATTATCTTTGATGAATTATTGAAACTTGACATGTATGAAGTTTACGACTTTGTATACAGTATATTTTCTCTGCAGGTAAACAGTCTTGAGTTACCACATGGACTAAAAAAAACTGAATTTTTTTGTAATCATAACAAAATATTAGCATAAGGCTTATTGTTTACAGACTTTTAATCTTTCAGACCATTTCCTTTAAATAATGAGCTGCATTTCACATATGAGCTAAAATTATTTCGCAGCCCACTACATCTATTGAAGTGAGATATAGTCAGCTCTCACTTGCCTGTTTGGTACTGGGAGACCAGTGGTACAAGTCAGCAAAAAAAAGTGTATGATCTCATGCTACATAGTTTGGTCTTCATGGTGGAAGATATTTTGTGTGGCTGTTGCATATGATTTACATTTCTTAATTAAAATTACTCAGGTTAATAACTGATTTGTCTGCATTCTAGAAATAACCAGCTCTCAGGGTTTAGGTGTGGGCTGTTCTGAGTAGTCGGAGCAGCCAAACTGGAATTAAATATTTGCTGTTCAGAAAGGCAGTTTTTCTGTGATTATAGAGGTGAGTGCAACTGCACGTGATAGCGCTGTCTTCATTCATTTTCTTTTTGTGGTGCAGGTGTATTTATGGGACCCACAAATATACCATTTACCTCCCAAGCACCAGCTGCGTTTCAGGGCTTTCCATCGATGGGTGTGCCTGTGCCTGCAGCTCCTGGCCTTATAGGAAATGTGATGGGACAGAGTCCAAGCATGATGGTGGGCATGCCCATGCCCAATGGGTTTATGGGAAATGCACAAACTGGTGTGATGCCACTTCCTCAAAACGTTGTTGGCCCCCAAGGAGGAATGGTGGGACAAATGGGTGCACCCCAGAGTAAGTTTGGCCTGCCGCAAGCTCAGCAGCCCCCATGGAGCCTCTCACAGGTAGGGGTCATTTACTTTCTAGCTCTTCCCAAATCAAAGAAAACAGATTTATTTTCTAAAAAAATTTTTTTTAAGTCTAGTGATCTGGCAGAAAGAATTCAATAGGGATAATATGTATAGGGTCAAAAGTATCTATAAATATTACGAAGTTGTATCAGACAAATGATGTGTTATCCCTGTTTTAGAGTATTCTGTTAAAAAAAGGTTAAACGCCTTTCATTTCAAATTGTAACGTAACTGTAATGGTGAACACCACTAATCTGTTTGCTGATGGCCAGAAATTATCTTAGGCATCATGAGACTCCCTCTCTGCCACCTCTGAGATTAGCACTTAGCTTTAACCAGCTTGCTTGTGGGACGTTTTTATAGTCCACTTAGACAACTTCACTAATAATTTTGGGGTCTTTTATTAGAAAAAAAATCTAGCCTCATATTCTCAAAGCACTATTTTATGAGGGATCTAAGGCTATTTTTCAGGTCATATGATTACTGCCCCATAGCTCTGTAAAAATTCTTTTTGTTCAAAAACCTTTGTAAAGTTGTATTTTCTTTTTATGTACCTTTAATGACTTTTATGTTCAAAAAGATTCAATTCCCATAAGGTGTGAACCAGACATCCCCTCATATTATAAAATCCTGTTTCTACCTAAGTTAGAGCTAAGATAGAACATTTCTATTTCAGGTGCTGTGTTCTGACTTCTCTCTCTCTAGCTGCACAGACAAAGGCTCTTAGAGAGGTTCATGCTCCCACTCTTCTTCCTTTTACACTTCCCATTGATGTTCCTCCAGCATTTTGTCAATCTTGGTTTCTGTTTGGTCACTTGTTTTACCTTTAGAGCATTCAGGGAATAGTCTAGAGTGATTTCTAACATTAGCTCAATCACTATATATCCCAATTAATTTTGCTACCACCATTTCCAAGAATATAGGTAAGACATTGGTCTCTACACATTGGGAATCTAAAAAATTGTATGTGCTAAGGGTCAGTCACATGGTCAACATGCTGAAGCACACCCAGCTCAGGTTAAGGTGCTAGATGAACCAGGAAGGAGTTAATACTGGCTCTTACTTCCAAATAATGCAGAAGGGCGATGCTGTTCTCCAGCACTCCATCAGTGCAGTCTACTGGCCAACGACAAAGTGGTTAAAATGTCCTTTAGGAGGTATGAAGACGTGATCTGCTTCTTCAGACACTTATGCCTGATGATTAGTGATGTAGTTTATGTTAGTGTCTTTGAAACTGTAAATAAGTCAACTGTATTAAATTAAGAACACAGTCATAACACTTGAGTTTAAGTTTTAGACCCGCTCTGTACTTTATGGTAAATCTTGCCTTCTCTTACCACCAATTTTGGAAATAAGAGAACCACAGGGTTAAGGTTCTTATATATATATTTGACTCCAGTCTTGAAGAAAAATATACATAATCTTATACTTTATTGCATACAATGAAAATAAATTTTAGATGTTTATGTTGTTAGATCAGCAAGAGAAATAAATGCTTTATGACCACTTTTAGGAAGTATATAGAGCCATTTAAGATTTTAACAGAGAATAATAGCTATCATACAAAGTTTATAGGATAATTTTAGACTATTTTACTTTCTAAAATTTTCTTACTCCTTAGTAGTTAAAGCACAATATCCTAGTGTAGGTGAAAGTCAGAGTAACAGACTCATGATACAAATCCCAAGATTGCTTTGGTATTTTTTTTTTAAGTTGTTAATCTTTAGGGAAACTGAATCTAGAAAGCAGATAAATAAAGAAGGGAAAAAAGTAGCTATTTGCTTTAAGAAATATTTGTATGGTACTCTGCTTTTATTCCAGTGCTTGGACTAGTTTTCACATTAATGAAAAAAATGACCAACTGTGTGGCTAAAGAAACAAGAATTAAAGGTGAAGTAAAGCCTCTTGAACTAAGCCTTTTATGTGTTTCACAGATGAATCAGCAAATGGCTGGCATGAGTATCAGTAGTGCAACCCCTACTGCAGGTTTTGGCCAGCCCCCCAGCACAACAGCAGGATGGTCTGGAAGCTCATCGGGTCAGACTCTCAGCACACAACTGTGGAAATGAAAACTGCAATACAAGTTTCATCCAGAACTACCACCTGACATTCCTTGCTAAAAGGCATCTAGTTCCCCTGTTTATTCATATACATATATTTTTTTTCTTTTTACCCATTTGTTCATATTAAGAATGATCTGATTGACCGTGTTGGTCTGTACTGATTCCATTTGATGTGGTGAAAAGCAGGTTGATAAACCATTTTATGTCAAGGGCAGCTTTGCTCATGTTTCCCATGATTTCATATACTGCATTATTTGAGAAGCTGCTCAACTTGCAAAATCAGTTTTCCTCAATAAAATTATAGCTCTAATGTTTGCATATAAGGGAAGTAGTTATCATGTTAGTAATACCTCTAACAGTATAAGCCCCACCCCAAAATTAGCCAGTAATCCTGTAGGAAGGTACTGTATGATCAAATGTTTAATCATATAAATAGAATGTAAATGTCTCACTGAGCACTGTTTTCTAGTGTATCAAAATTCTTTTATTTCATCATTCACTTCACTGTGCTGTTGTTATGATGTGCTTAACAGGGAGTGTGGTTAGTGAAAGGAAGATAAACCTGGATGTTACTCCAAAACTTAGTTAATGAATGTTTAAATAATTCAAATTTTATCTGCCTCTCTTGTAATTTGGATCTCTTCTCAATGTACATAGTGCTAACATGAAGACCTTTTTCTGCACTATATGCAAACAGGGTAACTAAAACAAAGCCACTTTCAATCCTTGAAGGTATATCCAGGTTTATGACAGTAATTGTGTTTACATTTTATGGTGCCTAGTATTGACAAAATGTTATTTCCCTATATTAAACAGATGAATCCATAGACCTTTTCATTTGTGGGTTTTTTATTTCCTATGATGGATACTGCCAGAAACCTTCCAAAAATTACTTAGTGTTGCAAAGTCAGGAATCAGGAATGTTTAGCTGACAAAATACTTGTCTGTTTTAAAAACCTGTTCAGGTCTGCCAATTATAAGAGCAAACTGGAGAAAAAGAAAAAATATATACTCAGAGTGGTATCTTGCAGTATCGGCACTGTACAAAAATCTTCCAATTTAGTTGTAGAGAAAACATGCAGAACAAATGAAGACAAAACATATATTTTGTACCATCCAATTAGCTTATGTTAACTGACAAGCTCCATTTAAACAGATGTCCATCAGATGACAAGAAAGGCTGTTGTACTGAAGTAAAACAAACAATACCTGAATGCTCTGCAGCCTAAACTCCAAACATCCTCTTCCACATGAACCCACTGGCTGGGCAAACTGCACCAGTTGCTGCTTCAATTTATACCTCAATTTTCACTGTGTCCAGGCGGTACTTTGGCTCGTTGGCTAGATTAACCTTCTCTGTCCGAGTGTGCCACACGAGAACCTAAAGGGGAAGGAAATAGCTTGGGTAGCACACTCTTCATGCTGACACTTGAGGTCAGGCAGCACAAGTGAAATGAATACCTTAGTGCAGTTATTTGCTTTCGGTTCCAGTTCTTCGACTGTTGTTATCTGTTTGAGAAAGTCCGATTCTTGCATCCCTGGCTGGGATCCACGACGCTTAAATACAGCTTTTGGATTGGATAAAATGACTTGAAGACTTACAGCAAATCCTTTGTGAAAAGTAAAAAACAAAACAAAACAAAAACTTAAAATACTGGTGTACTTCTCTTTTTTCTGTATAATTTTGGTCACATCAAAAACAGTTTTTAAAATACCTACTGTGTGTCAGGTCTTGGTTTACAAAGTTGATTAGGAACATTACCTGTATTACAGTCTCAAAGGAAAATCAATCATTATAATATTTTACATTCCGTGTAAAAAGAGGTGTGCACAGGAGCATCTATGCAAGACAGGAAGTTTAGTCTGTTAATAATAAAGGGTGAATTTTATAAGCTGCTGTTTCACAGTGGTCATCGACCCTCCACATTTGCCACTCCAGGAATAACTAAGAAATAAATGCAGCTGAAAAACATACATGCTTACCCTAACTATACGTGGGGTGTGAGACCACATGCCCAGCTCTCCTGCCTGCCCTGTAATACTAATTATGTATGCTTCCTTAAATTCAGCACTGCTCGGATTCATTTTGCATTTAGAAGAGGGAGCAACGAAGTAAAGCCAATTAGCCAGAAAATGAATCATACCTAATTTTTAATCATTTGGTTTACATTTCTAATTTGGTTCAATCTAAAAAGGGTATGTGGGGCAGAAATCAGTGCAGGAGATATCAGGCCATCTGATAAATTTTTTTTTGGTATTTCATTTACCAAAAATAAGTGTAAATTTTCTTCAATGGTTTGGTCATACGAAAAATCATTACTGGCTGGGCACAGTGTCTCACATCTGTAATCTCAGCACTTTGGGAGGCCAAGGCAGAGGGTCACTTGAGCCCAGAAGTTCAAGACCAGCCTGGGCAACATAATGAGACCCTGGCTCTACAAAAAATACAAAAATTAGCTGGGTGTCGTGGCACGTGGTGCGTGCCTGTAGTCCCAGCTACTTAGGAGGCTGAGGTGGGAGGACTGCCTGAGCCTACAAGGTTGTGGCTGCAGTGAGCTATGACTGTGCCACTGCAACTCCAGCCTGGGCAACAGAATGAGGCCCTGTCTCAAAGAAAAAAAACCATTAGTATTTAATCTGTAGTTCTACCAACTATTTAAAGCTCAACCATTGAAACATTCTACAATTGTTTTTGCCATCTCAGCAAGTAATAATTGTTTTGAAGGTCTGAAGCCCTGGACCTCTTTTTCCTTAGTGACTAAGGTGATACTGTCAAGTCGGGCACCCTCCCAGAGTTGAAGCTCTGAGGACCAACCCCCAAAACATTTCTTAGCAACTTTTGCCCTTCTCTACATTAAATGAGTTGATTTATGATTCAGTTTGCGAAGTAAATACTAAATGATACCAGGTGGTAATGGAGGAGCTGTGAGAACACCACAACCACTATCCTCTCCAGATGCCAGACTGGGCCAGTCTCCGGTTCCAGACCCTGCTGCCTTTTGGAGAAAAGTTAACACGAAGCCACTTACAAACACAACATGGTACAGCAGGTGCTGAGTAAAGCAGAACAAAGAATCATAAAGCATGAGCCGTAGCACTAGTCCCAGTATCCTCCACCAACCCTAAAGGGAGGGAGGTGGCACATTTTAGCAGAGAATACTGGATTTGGAATTAGAAGCCTTTTGTTTTTGCCTAGGTCCCTGCCCTTGGGACACTGGCCAACTCACTTAACCTTTCTTGATTTTCTAACTTCCCCATTTCTTTATTTGTGAGAGAAGTGTAACACTTCAATGTTTGGTGAAAAATTGAGGTATGGAAAGACTCCACTGACTGCAAAGCACTGTTGAAAAGATATTACAATATATAAATACCAATACCATTGTCAGTGTGATCATGACAGGCAGGTGATGCCAGCCACCATTTATGGCTGGAAGAATACTGGTTGACAGGTTTAAAAGGCTTGGGAAAGTTCCAGGTAGCAAAGCCAGAACACCTACATGTGACAGCACTCCAAAGCCTTCCTCAGACAACTAGGACAACCACCAGACTCTTCAACAAAAGCCAAAGGTTCAAGTTGATATGTAAAGTGCCCTTTGCAACAGGTTAGATCAGATTTTAGTGTTAAAAAATGTCTTGCTTTTTTCCATATGCTTATAAATAAGATTTATCCTTTTTTTTTTTAATCCAGATGAGAGCCTGCCCTTCTCAGTCACACTGAAACTCCTGATACGTTCTTCACATGGCTTCAGGGTACTGGTTGTATTTCCCCATTCTCTAAAAAACATGGGATCCAAATTGTGCAGAGGTAATTTTTGGAAATGATATGGAGCCACCTGGATCTGATTTCCTTCATTTTCCCCTAACACATTCATCATCATGACCAAGGATTCATCATCACGACAAGGATTCAGATTATTTTGTTGCTTTCCTTAGCACAGGAATATCCTATCAGCTCTTCACACAGAATTACATGGCAAAATCTACAATGTAGGCAAAGCTGAGAGCCAGTTGTGAAGCTATACATCATTTTACTACAGGGCCCCCCTTCCCGGTGTCACTAGAGAATGGTGCGCACCTGAAAGGCCAGCACCCTGGAGATATGTCAGCGTGTGGCTCTCCACAGTGCCCAAGTGTTTTTCTATTCTCTAATACAAAGGGGTGGAGGAGCACAATTCAGATGCCCCTCAATCAGCTAACGCATTTCCTTTGCTCAGTGATCTCTTGAAAGGAAGCAGGTCACAGCTGGCAGGAGAGACTGCATGTTAACTAGGCCAACCCCTGGGTGGCTTTGGGGGAATCTGACCTGCTGTGAAGCTAAGAGTTCTCCCCTCTGAAATCACAGTAAAGGGAATCCTAAACTATTGATTCCCAACCTAAGATGTTTTGGGGGTAATTCCAAGTATTTATACTTCAAGTATTATATCTTTCATTTTTTAGTGAGATTTGTTATCTTTAAAGATGTTGCAGTTACTTTGGAGATGCTTACGAAAATCATGGGAGTAGGATTTTCTGCCCTGGTAACCTGAGTTAAAAAAAATAAATAAATAAAATAAAAATGATGGTTCACTGAGAAGGCAGGATTTCCTGACTACTTCAGCAGAGCTAGGTGGGGAGGATACACAGCCACCCTCTGTATCTGCAGATTCTGCATCTGCAGATTCAACTAACATCAGATGAAAAGTATCTGAAAATAAAAAATAACAATAAACAATAAGAAATAATAGGGTTCTTTTGTTTTTGGAGACAGAGTTTCACTCTTTTTGTCCAGGCTGGAGTGCAGTGGCACAATCTCGGCTCACTGCAACCTCTGCCTCCTGGGTTCAAGCGATTCTCCTGCCTCAGCCTCCCGAGTAGCTGGGACTACAGACGTGTGCCTGGCTAATTTTGTATTTTTAGTAGAGATGGGGTTTCACTATGTTGACCAGGCTGGTCTCGAACTCCTGACTTCAAGTTAACTGCCCCCCTCGGCCTCCTAGGAGTGCTGGGATTACAGGCATGAGCCACCGCGCCCAGTCAAGGTAATACAAGTTTTAAAGCTATATAGTATAACAACCATTTGAATGGCATTTGCATTGTATTAGGTAAGTAAGCTAGAGATGATTTAAAGTATACAGGAGGATGTGCCTAGGTTATATTAAACACTATATCAGGGACTTGAGCGTCCATTGATTTTGGTATCGGTAGCAGTCCTGAAACCAATTCCCTATGAATACTCAGGAATAACCGTTCCCTCTCAGGCAGAGGGATAGGGCTTACCTCAATATATGCTTACTGATTACTGAGTAGAAAATTTGTAAGACATTCAAAGCCCAACAAGCTATTTCCATTTCTGGACAAAACTGCAATAGGGACTGGTTTTTCCTCACTTGTTTTAAATAACTAAAAGGCAGACAAAATGTTTGAAAAAAGTTTCCAGACATTGGAAAAGAGGCACATGAGACAGAGATCTCTGAGAAAAGAGAACTATGACCCCTACAACTGCCCCAGCTTCCTGCCTGAAGTAGGTTTTCAGGCTACACCACAGGGAGGGGAACCCGGAAAGCTCTGCAGCCCCCTTGAGTTGAGGAAACAACTGAGAATTCGAGGAGGCCAAGACAACTAGGATATGCAGGGTGGAGAACTGGAGAGGGAAGAGCTCTGCTGATCTGTAGACGGCTCTCCTCAAGTCTTCAACTGAGTTTGAAGAGCAAATGCTCACAAAGCTACCTCAGGCCAGTACAGAACCACTGGTAAGGAGCAGGTGAATCAATTACTGGAGCTTTTTCAGGGCTGGGACTAGTTCCCATTCTCAGTAGCCAGAGTGGAGCTACCTAGTAAGAGCTGGGCACCTGGAGGGGAACTTGGAAGGTTATTGTGCCTGTTGTAAGGTCAAACTGATTAGCCTTAAACTAAAGGCTGAGATGGTTTTGCCTAACAAACTTCAAGCCTGGAAAGGATCAAAATGTTTCTAAGTTAACTCAGTTGTGTCCCAGTACAAAGCTCAAGAATATTTACATATGTATTTATAATATAGTATAACATTACATATATATGTGTTTTTATGTATGGTTGTGTGTATACATATATTTCTCATCCAGTATCTAGCAACATAAAATTCAAAATGCCTGATGCCCAACTCACCTTAGTGATGAAAAATACAATGTCTGAGATGAAAAATACATTGGATGGGATTAGCAGCCGAGGAGACATTGCAGAATGAAAGTTGAGTAGACTTGAACACACAATGATAGAAACTACCAAAATAAAACAGAAAAGTCAAGACCAACACACACACACACTGTGCAGAGTCACAGGAACAAAGGGAAAGGTGAATGAATAAGGGAGATGGGGAAAAGATTTGAAGAAATGATGACTGAAAAACTTACAAACTTGAAAAATCAGGAAAGACACTAAAACTCAGATAACAATCAACTACACCTAAATGACATTTATAGAACACTCCACCCAAACAGCAGCAGAACACAACCTTTTAAAGTACACATGGAACATTATCAAGATAGACCATTGTCTGGGCCATAAATCAAGTCTCAATACAAAGTATGTTTTCTGACTACAGTGGAATTAAAATAGAAATCAGTAATACAAAGATATCTGGAAAATATCCCAAATATTTGAAAACTAAACAACATAATTCTAAGCAAAATATAAACCAAAGAAGAAATCAAAAGGGAAATGATAAAGTGGTTAACTGAATGAAAATGAAAACGACACATATCAAAATGTGTAGGATACATCTAAAGGACTGCTTAGATGGGAAATTAGTTTTTAGAAAACATTAAGCACTTATTGGATAAGAAAGGTCTGAATTCAATAACCTAAGCTCCTACCTTTATAAACTAGAAAAAGAAAGTAAATGAAGCCCAAAGTAAATGGAGAAAAGGACTCTACTAATAAATATAAGAGCAGAAACCACTAAAGTAGAAATAGAAAACAATTGAGAAGTGAAATAATAACCTAGTCATTTAGAAAAAAAAAAAGTTAATCAAATTGATAAACTCTACCCATGCTTATCAGGAAAAAGAGAAGATATAAATTACCAGCCTCAGAAATGAAAGAGATATGTTCTACAAACCTTCAAATGATAATATGGGACTATTATAAGCAATTTTTTATGATAGTAAATTTGACAACTTAGATCAAAATAGAAAAATTCCTTGAAAGACAAGCTACAAGTCTCACTCATGAAGAAATAGATGATGTAAAATAGCCCAGTACCAAACAAATTCAGTTTATAATTAAAATCTTCCCACACACATACACACAACCCTCCAGGACCAGAGAGCTTCACTGTTAAATTCTACCAAGCATTTAAGGAAGAAATGATAACAATTCTCCATGAATTCTTCAAGAAAATAGAAAAGGAGGAAACCTTTCTCAAGCTATTCTGTGAGACCAGCATTGCCCTGACAACTAAATCCAGACACAAACATTACAAGAAAACTACATACTAATAATCCTCATAATCACAGAAAAATTCTCAAAATTTTAGCAAATCATCTTCAACAATAAAAAGACAATAAATCATGACCACTTGAGGATTATCTCCAGATTGCAATGTTGGTTTAAAATTTCAAAATCAATCAGTGTAATTCACCATATTAACAGACTAAAAAAGAAAAAAAATCTGACTATCACAATAGCTGGAGAAAATGCTTTGACAAAATCTAACATCTAGTCATAATGAAAAGAAGTAAAAGCCTCTCAGCAATCTAAGACTAGAAGTGAACTTTCTCAATAAGGGCATCTACAAAAATAACCTAATGCCAACATTATACTTAATGGTGAAAGACTGAGTGTTAAATCCCTGAAGATTGGAATGAGGCAAGGATGGCTGCTCTTGACTTTTATTCAACAAAGTCCTGGAGATCTTGGCCATTTAAATAAGGCTCCTGTCCCCGCAAAAAGGCAGAAATATTGGAAAGGAAGAAGTACAGCAAAACTCTTCTTCCTTCAGCCACAGTTAACAGTATCAATAGTGCTTCTCAGTACCTTCTATTGTGTAAGTATCAATTTAGCCTCACCTCCATAGGCTCATCCCACTGCCACATTCTCT